CACATTCGCACACACACTCACACAAAAACACACACATTCGCACACACACTCACACAAAAACACACACATTCGCACACACACTCACACAAAAACACACACATTCGCACACACACTCACACAAAAACACACACATTCGCACACACACTCACACAAAAACACACACATTCGCACACACACTCACACAAAAACACACACATTCGCACACACACTCACACAAAAACACACACATTCGCACACACACTCACACAAAAACACACACATTCGCACACACACTCACACAAAAACACACACATTCACACACAAACACACTCGCGCACACACAAAAACACACACACACACACATTCACAAACACACTCGCACACACACTCGCGCACACACAAAAACACACACATTCGCACACACACTCACACAAAAACACACACATTCACACACAAACACACTCACTCACACACACACACACACACACACACACACACACCCCCACCCACACACACACACACACACACACACACACACTCGCGCACACACACACTGACACACTCGCGCACACACACTGACACACTCGTGCACACACTGACACACACGCACACACACTGACACACACGCACACAAACACACACGCACACAAACACACTCTCACACACTGACACACTCTCACACACTGACACACTCTCACACACACTGACACACTCGCGCACACTGACACACACTCGCGCACACTGACACACACTCACGCACACTGACACACACTCACGCACACTCTCACACACTCACGCACACTCTCACACACTCACGCACACTCTCTCACACACACACACACACACACACACACACACTCGCGCACACACACACTGACACACTCGCGCACACACACACTGACACACTCGCGCACACACACTGACACACTCGCGCACACACTGACACACACGCACACAAACACACACGCACACACTGACACACTCTCACACACTGACACACTCTCACACACTGACACACTCTCACACACTGACACACTCTCACACACTGACACACTCTCACACACTGACACACTCTCACACACTGACACACTCTCACACACTGACACACTCTCACACACTGACACACTCTCACACACTGACACACTCTCACACACTGACACACTCTCACACACTGACACACTCTCACACACTGACACACTCTCACACACTGACACACTCTCACACACTGACACACTCTCACACACTGACACACTCTCACACACTGACACACTCTCACACACTGACACACTCTCACACACTGACACACTCTCACACACTGACACACTCTCACACACTGACACACTCTCACACACTGACACACTCTCACACACTGACACACTCTCACACACACTGACACACTCGCGCACACTGACACACACTCGCGCACACTGACACACACTCACGCACACTGACACACACTCACGCACACTCTCACACACTCACGCACACTCACACACTCACGCACTCTCACACACACACACACACACACACTCGCACACACACTGACACACTCTGACACACTCGCACACACATACACTTACGCACACTCTCACACGCACTCACACTCGAGCACACACAAACACACACACACACGCACACACACTCACACTCGCACTGACACTCACACTCGCACACACGCACACACACTCACACACAAACACACAAAAACACACACACAAACACTCGTGCACACTCACACTCGCGCACACACAAAAACACACACACACAAACACACAAAAACACACGTGCACACACACTCACACACACACAAAAACACACACACACACTCGCACACAAACACACACACAAACACTCGTGCACACACACTCGCGCGCACACAAAAACACACTCGCACACACACAAACACACTCGCACACACACACAAACAAACACACACACACAAGATATAAATACAATATCATATTGACAGTAAAAAAAACAATGATTCAGTTCAATTGTGATTAAATTGTGATGCATAAAATGTCGACTGTCCTTGATGTCTGCCTCAAGTTTATTCAGATTTCAGCATGATTCATAATTGCTGTACAATTCTTTTACAAAATTATACTAGCTATATACAACAAATGTAACTGGAACAAGGAACAATTTATAGAAAACTATAAATAGACCCGTATTTTGAATTAGAAAGTTTCCTCATTATTAAAGTAAATAATTCATCATGTATATAACATTATACATACATAAAATAATTACAAAATAGTATAATTATATGCATATAAAATAATAATTCAATATTTAAATAATTTAAGAATCCAAATGACATGCATTGTCTTCAAATATATGAATTTTTCTGTATGTCAAGGTGATTGACAATTAAGTGGTTACCAGGTTTCAAGTTTAATCCCAAATGACTGAGTGACACTTCAACAGTTTAGATCAGATCTCTGTCAAAGCCACAGCTGAGCAAAGACCCATCATGACACGAATCATAATTGATGAATTTTACAACCCGGACACCACTATTGAGCTGAATAGTGACACTACTCTCTGCCATATATACACTACATGAACAAAAGTATTGGGACACACCTCTTAATTCAGGTGTTTCAATCAGACCCACTGCCACAGGTGTATAAAATCACCCAGCATGCAGTCTGCATTCACACACACATAAAGTAGGTGACTTAAAGCATGCTATTATGATGATAGGATGCCAATCACACCATGCAGCAACAAGTTTCATTCCTTCTAGCAGTGTTGAGGAAAGTTACTTTTAAAAGTAATGCATTACAATATCGTATCACTCCATAAAAAAGTAAATTACATCATCATTTATTCTCCCTCATGTCAATCCAATGACTCAGACTCTCTTCTGTGGAACACAAAAGATGATGAAGTTGACTTTCATTATAATTGTTGTCGATACAATGAGAACCCAAGCTGTTTGGTTCCCAACATTCTCCAAAATATCTTCTTTGATGTCCCACAGAAGAAAGTCATGGAGGTTTGGGAGGAACATGAGGGCGAGTAAATGATGATGAGTTTTGGTTTCTGCTTGGACTGTCTGTGCTGAAGTCTTTATCTCTGTCAGAGGTGTATCTATACAGAGCAACAGTAATAAAGCCGGTGTGTTTGCAGTGACTAGCGCAGGTAGTAAATCAGTAGCTAGTGGACAAACAAACCTTTGCTTTGAGACCAAAACACTGGAGACAAAATCACCACTTGGATTCGCTGGAATAAAAACAAGCTTGAGGAAAACAGACAGTAATGTGGTTTTACTTTGGCATTTTACTCATTAAAATGTTTAGCTGAAAATAACTGAGACTAACAAACTGAGATCTGGAGGAGCACAGCTGCACTGATGAAGGATTTGATGTTAGTTTTTATGACTGCACTCACTCACTCGTGGACATGGAGACAAAAATCTGAACTTTGGACAGATGAGGAACAGTTATGTAAGAAGTTCTTCCAGGAGAGCTTTACTTCAGTCTCAGTAACACAAACACCCCGACATTTAACCCCTATATGTTTAAGGAGACAGACGGTTGTCTTACCGGAGCGTGTCCTGCTGCTGAAGGAGTCTCCAGCCTGAACTCAAGACTTCTGGAGATGCACTGATCTTCTGCAGCGCCACCTAAAGGACTCAGACTGAAGACACACGAGTCAAGGTCAAAGTATGAGTCATCTGAACACTGAAGGACGGACTCAACACACACACACTCTCTCTCTCTCACACACAGTCACTCACTCACTCACTCACTCACACACACACACTCACACACACACACACACACACACACTCTCTCACACACACAGTCACTCACTCACTCACTCACACACGGAGTCACTCACACACACTCACACACACAGTCTCACACACACACACACACACACACACACAGTCACTCACTCACGCACGCACGCACGCACTCACGCACTCACGGCTTGCTTAGTTCACTTGACAGATTGCACAGACACTATTCAGGGTTTCTACCCATTTTCCATTTTAAAATTCCATACTTTTCCCAGACTCAAATTTCCAAACCTCTCGGTAGATTTTCAGACCATCTTTAACAAACGGTTCATAGAGCATTATTTTCAGCTTTATATTTGGTATACAGTACAGTCATTTACAATCTGTAAATGTTTATTTTCTCAGGGGGGTTTTTTCACGGATTTTCTCGAAGTGACAACCTACAGTTCCGAAAATAAAAAAAATAAAAATAATACATGCACACAAGAAACTTTTGTGCCCTCGAGAAACTATTCACATGCATTTTTTGCATGCTTACACATTACAATTTCTAGTTTTATATAACCTATTTTCTTTAAATTTGGCTTTTCATTTGGCATTTCACCGTGAAATGGGCTGATGATGCAATAGGTAGCTCTGTGTGCGTTGTCCTATATGCTAAGTTAATAAAAGTAAAGTAAAGTAAAGCTAATAAATGGAACCTTATTGGAAAGTGTTACCATAAAATATTTTTCCTGCATGTCATGTGACCATAAACCGACATCAGAGAACCGTGGACATGTGAACGCATCGTTAAATTATTGAAATATTAACCTAAAACCTCAAGAGGACTACAAGTTAATATCTGAGCTCAAACCAGTTTATGAATCCCTTAAATTCACATATTTAGACTTGACCATCAGCATATAGTTCACATTACAATTTAGACACAGAGAAGTCCAGAAGACGAACATCAGCTTGTATACACCACAGAGGAAGGTATTATCTTAAATAGATTATAATACAATACAGATTACACAATGTCTCTGCAAAAATAATTTAACATTTAATTATTAAGATACACAAAACAACTCAGATCAGAACACAGCTGTACTGGTGAAGATGCAGTTTCAAATCTCTGAATATTGGTGCCACTAACCTGCTAACCTTTGTCGGTGACTAGTTGTTCCTCAGAAGTGCTCATGCAAACTTGAGCTCGTTTCAGCGCAGACAAACACGGATGAAACCTTACAAAAGATTCCTAATAAACACACACACTCCCACTCGCTCAAATGATACGAAGCACGTTTTATTACTACAGAAACGAAGATATTCATCTCATACAAAACAACTCGTCATAAAATAAATACTGAAAAAGTGTTCATCTGCTGAGAACCGCGACATGTGCAATATTTGAAATCCTGTGATGATCCCAAAACAACCTTAAGACGTCCAGCCCCCTGAAGCTGTCCGTCAAACGAGGACTGACCAATCAGGGAGCATGTGAAGGTGTCAGTCTAATTCTATTGGCTGTCATGTCTCTCTCTGTGTTCAGCTCCACCAATCAGCAGTGAGCAGAGACCTCAGCCAATTGTTAGCAGCCTCTTCTTCATGACATATTCATAAGACTGAATGACCAACCTGCTCACGCGGATCAGAACCAGCGGCTCAGGAACAGGATATCCCGCTCTGAGGTGCTAGCAGAGTGGAAGCACAGGCTAAAGGAGAGGTCAGAGGTCACCGGCTGATGTCACGGGCTCCACTGAAGTGTTCAGCGTCTCGGACAGGACTGAAGAAGGGATGAAGCAGCGCAGCGGAGAGAGGCAAGCGCCGATCCGGCTCATATTCCAGCAAGCCCTCCAACAAATCAAAGAAGAGATGATGCTCCTCTGTCTCACACAACACATACCTCTGACAGAGAGAGAGAGAGAGAGAGAGAGAGAGAGAGACAGAGTTTGAATTTCAACACACCTTTATCAACAACATTACACAATCAGTCCCTACTTTATAAACACACAATTAATTTTAAATACAAAAACCACACCAAAATAACAGCATACATAGATTATCTAACTAAATCCTAGGGATGTAACAATATTATCAATATCGAAATATCACGATATTATCGCGGTCGCATGACGATATGAAACGATAGGTCTTCCGGGCAAAAAGTGTCGTTTTTAACTTTTTATTCTAAAAGGCATAAAAGGTGTTTAAAGTTGTGTTTTGGGTCATTATGCTTTGGCACAGTATCAGACGAACTCAAACCGAAAGCACAATATGCTTCATCTCTTCATCAAGTCTGTTTCAAAGCGAAGCACACACTTGGTTCAGACGATCGGCTCGTGATCCGGTGTTTTCTGCGTCTCAGAACGACTCGTTCACACTGAATGAATGCAGTCCACTCCTTTATTTAATCTTCTGTGAGTTTAGCGCTGGTTTGGGAACGCAGCAGACACCAGTTATGCTTTATTTCAGCGGCAGATGATGACAGCGTTTCACTAGATTTCCAGTGAGATGTGTTTGTGTTGTTGTAAGCATGTTTTCACTGAAGCTGGAGTTTCCTTCTGAATAAAAGATTAAAGTGCAGTAAGAATAGCTGACAGCTAGCGGTTTAAATGCAGCCCAAAACATCTCTTTCAAGTGTAGAAATTAGGAAAGAAGTATTGTACTTTCCCTGCTGTACAGTGTATATAATCTACCTATGAAATATTCATTTTCATTTATTTTACAATATATGGCTGTCACTGTTATTGTTGTTATTATTCTATTCTAATATGTTTGGCTTCCTCAAACCCCAGTGTGAATGTAATTTAGACAGACAGTATTTCACAAATAAAAAGAGAGTTGAGTCCCTTTAAAGTTCAGGTACGAGTCAATTCACTGACTTTCTTCTGACTTAAGTTTTCTTAATTAAGAACATGTTGCAGCTCTTAATTCTGAACTCTGTGTTTGAGCGCGCGCGCGCACGGCATCCGGTGCGTGAGGTGTGTACGCGCTCTGGCGTAGTTTACGTTAACGGGTGTGTTGATATCCAGCCGACACACCTTTATCAACAACATTACACAATCAGTCCCTACTTTATAAACACACAATTAATTTTAAATACAAAAACCACACCAAAATAACAGCATACATAGATTATCTAACTAAATCCTAGGGATGTAACAATATTATCAATATCGAAATATCACGATATTATCGCGGTCGCATGACGATATGAAACAAGGTCTCATCAAAGCGATTAAATAAAACTTGAGAAAGTAAATTAATGATATTAAATATCATGCAGCCTCGCATCATCTTCTTTGATCCGCGTCGTACCTAACAACGTCCCTTAGCTGTTATAAATTCACTGTAAACTGCGGCTTCTTGCTGTAATAAAGCATAATGCTATTGTAAATTCACAAACTATACGATTAAATTACTTAAATAAATGCGATGCAGGATTAATATATGCGCTTTAATTATTTACATATGTGTGCGTGTCACAGTAAATAAACGCTGCTCCGCACAAACTGTAAAGAAATGGACAAATGTTAAATATTATGTAGATATTTGAATTAAATGTTGTTTGGACAATATTAAACGAGGATTACTTCACGTAGTGTAAAACAATCGTCAGGCCGTGGGCGCCCTCTGCTGGCATTTGTTATAATGCATAATGTACACTAGCTCCATTGTTTATAACACAATATATTTGTTAAATAAAACTATATGATTACTTGCTTTTGATACTTTATTTAAACGAATTATTATTGCCTCAGTGGTATTACATACGCATTTTAAGTCATTTTAAAGGCTATTGTTCACGTAGGTCTATTTTATTACTACAAAAAATGAATTATAATGATCCAATTAACAGTCAGAGTAATCAGTCACTCACTCTCAGAGGTCTGCAGTTCTCTCGGACGTATCGTCCCGCAGACGTGCTCTCGTCCCAGTCCAGACGACCTCTGTAAAAGTACTTCTGCTTCCTGAGTGCAGAGGTCAAGTCATTCTCACACTGGACTCTATTCACACGGACTACATCAATCAACGCTCAGAGTGTTTCCTGACCTCGTTTTCCGGATCATTCTGGAAGGAACAGGTCCATGTACTCGCTCCATCATGGCCAGATGCTCCCTGTTATCATGAGTCTAAAACACACACATACATGTAGAAAAGAACACGTATGGATCTGATTCAGGAACAGTTATGTTTATATTTATGAGCATCAGCAGAGATGGATTGTGGTTTAATATACACTACTGGTCAAAGGTTTCTGAATAATTGAGATGTTTTTGAAGTCTCTTCTGCTCACCAGGGCTGCATTTATCTGATCAAAAATAGAGTAAAAACAGTGAAATATTATTATAATTTGAAATCACCGTTTTGTCAGAATCAGAATTAGCTTTATTCGCCAAGTGTGCACAAACAAACAAGGAATTTGCTGTGGTTTTTAAGGAGCTCTTGGTGCATACAGTACATGCATACATATATGACATGAGAACAGAAAGAACATTTAAATAAGTAAGAGTAAAGAGAGAGAAAATAATAATAATATGGTATTTTATTTCATGTTATCAAATATACAGTATATACAGTAAAAGTGTAATATTATAATAATGTAATGTATTTCTGTGATGCGCAGCTGTATTTTCAGCATCATTCCTCCAGTCTTCAGTGTCACATGATCTTCAGAAATCAGTATAATATGCTGATCTGCTGCTCGAGAAACATTTCTGATTATCATCAATGTTGAACACAGTTGTGCTGCACAATATTTCAGTGGAAACTGTGATACATTTCCGTTAAAATGTTTGGGGGGTGTGTGAGTTTAATTAATACTTAATTAATACTGTGTGAATTTAATACATTTATCCATCAAGGATGCATTAAATTGATCAAAAGTGACATTCTATAATGTTACAAAATATTTATATTTCAAATAAATGCTGTTCTTTTGACCTTTCTGTTCATCTGTGAATCCTGAAAAATGAAATGTATCAGTTTCCACAAAAACATTGTGCCGCACAACTGTTGTGGAAATCCCGCTGATGCTCATAAATATGGCAGACAAGCAGTAAACTCATGTGACTGAAACACAATAAATTCACACACACTCTCAAAGTCAAACACACACCTGGAAGAGCGTGTATCCGCGGTAGAACTCAAACAGAATACAGCCGATACTCCAGACATCACACGGCTGACTCCAGCCCAGCTCTACAGAAACACAGTTAGAGAATCACACACACACACACAAGCTGAAAGCCGTCAGAAGGTCACACTGACACACGCTCTTACCCAGAATAACCTCCGGCGCTCTGTAGTGTCGGGTGGAAACGATGGTGCTGTGATGCTCGTGGTCAAATGTGGCGCTGCCGAAGTCCACTACCCTCACAGCAGAGTTCAGCACGCAGCGCTCGTCTCGCTTCTGACACACACACACACACAGACACAAGACACAAGACACACACACACACACGTGTACATGTTAAGGGCAGCTCACACCAACACTAACTATAAAGATAAGCTTCCACACCAACGGATGATTACGTTCTGTTTATTCTAAACACTGCAGTTTTGTCGCCTGCCGCTTTAAATGCTCAAGCTCTTTAAAGCAGGATGGATTCTGATTGGCTGTCAATGTTTTTATCATTCATGCTCTGAAACGTGATATCAGTGACATGTCTCTGTGTCCTTATCCTTACAGCTGTAGTGTGGACTCTATTCGCATAGAATTAGAGTGATTATTAACACATTATACATTTATAGTAGTGCTGTCAAATGATTAATCACATCCAAAATAAAAGTTTGTTTACATAATATATGTATATTTATTATGTATATAAATACACATTCAAGCATGTACATATTTCAGAAACATGTTTACATATTAAATATATTTATTTATAATAGGCTATAAATTATATGACTATAAATATATACATGTAGATATTTTCAAAATAAATACTATGTGTGTGTATTTATATACACGAAATATGTGTGTGTACTGTGTATGTTCATTATGTGTAAACAAAAACTTTTATTTTGGATTTATCGCAATTAATCATATGGTAGCACTAATTTATAGCCATTGTCCTTCGTGTGAATGTCCTTAAAACTTTCAGAATCTGAAATCAGAGTGAATTCATTTTAAATGATAAAATCAGTGCATGTAACCGGTCTCACCTTCTCTGCGTTATACGTGACAGAATAATCAGAGTTCACAAACAGGATGTTCTCTGGCTTGAGGTCTGTGTGTGTCAGCCTGTTGTCATGGAGAACTGTCAGAAAAACAGA